CACAGCATAATGCAGCCACCACCGTGTTTCGTTGAGGAGAGGCTCAACGAAACACGCCTTTATTTAGAAGTTAAAGTGGCTAGATGCTAATGCACCAATTTTTTTTTTACTTTTTATTTGTAAAAAAAAAAAAAAAAAATCATAAAGACAGTATGTAATTTTCTTTCCACCCCACATTTGTGCACTTCCTTATTGTTTATTCTTTATTTTACTTTATGTTCTTTGCATAGAAAATATGTGCAAAGTTAAAAGATATAATATCTACAAGAAGAAATTTACACCCACAGAAGACTCCAGTGGATCCTTCAGTTGTCTTCATCACCATTAAATATGGCTGGATAATGTCTGCAATAGGTATTATCCTATTGCAGGCTAATAGTCTGCAATACGAAATGTATCATAGTTTGATACATTTCAGAAAACATCTGAATGAGGAAATATTTCCCTCTATTGTTTTCTCACTAGTCAAAGCAAACTGTACCTTTTAAGAAAGAAACAGAAAAAAGTCCATTTTCCAGATATGAATATCACAAGTAACCCCAGGCTATTTGTTTTTAATCCATAGATTCACCATAATATTGTTATTTCAAACAGGGACAAAATCAGATAAGGCTAGTATTGCTAATAATTCAAAGATTTCTTGTTAGTTTCAGGACTGTTCAATAGTGTGATTCTTATTTATCCTGTTAGCATTCCTCTGACTAGACTCTTTAATTTTTACACTTTCCCCATTACAGTTAATTTTTGTTTTGAGTTAAATTGGCTATATGTCACAGAGGTGGAGAAATAATACAATGCATTTCTTTTATTTACATCAGAACACCATGTTGAAGAGACACCCTGGTTTAGTTAGTAAGAACACCCATTTAGCCTGGGTGAAGTTATTTAATATATTTTTTAAATATCTAACAACAAGGAAGCTATAGTTGCTCTCTTTTATTTAACTCCATTTCACTAAAATAACATATCGTGTCTCTAATTTAAAAAAAAAAAAAAAACGCCCAAAAATTGCAGCCAAGCAGTTTGTTGTCAGGCACGCTTAACTTGTTCATGATCGGCTGTCTGCTGAGGAATAGCAGCAGGAACACTTCTTTGTGTTAGAATGCCCTTGCAAAGTGAAAGGGACACGGAGAAAAAGAATGAGCTGGACAAAATGTGCTGGAGTAAGCAGATTCCCTTAGAAGAGCATCTGAGTGGGAGGAAGCGTGAGTTGGTTTGAGGGGAATTTAAAAACAGAGGACAGGAGTCTGAGGTGGGCTCTTTCTCCTTTGAGCTTAATTGGCTTGTCTCTTAACTGAGTGTTCTTGAAAGCTGGCAGAGACGGCAGCTCTGCAGTCGGACGTTTCCTGCAACGGTGGCCACTGGGCTGCCCGTTGTGCAAGCTGGCAGAAATAAACTGGACAGAATGACTTTAAATGTGACAAAAGCCGATTCGTTTATCCATACGTCTAGCACTCGGTGGTAGCAGCCCCCCCCCCCCCCCCCCCCACCTCTCTTCATTCTTTTTTTTTTTTCTCATCAATTATTTTTATGTTTGTTTAATTTT